CAGCACAAGCGTCGCTACAAACAGCACGAAAATAATAAGATTATATGAAAAATATATGTAATTTTTAATAGAATTTAATAGCCGTCGTAATTTTCAAACTGATAACGAAACATGCCGAAGATCACGACTGGTTGCGAATAATAGCCAAACATTACTAGCTCTAGTTGAAACATGCTCATAAAAATCAAAAAAAAAATTAAACGAAAACGGCGAATTTATTAGAATTTTTAGTTATACGTTATATTAGAATTTATTATTATTATTTAATTGTTATTTATTTAAATCAATAAAATCGATTAAATGGTATTGAAAGCTCTATAAAAGTGGCTGCGTCATTATCTATGCGATCACGGATCATCGGGAATATATCCGATCGGGAGGAAACCCGTATTTTGCACGCGGGCCAACGCGCGCCGCGCGTGTGTGATCCGAACGATAACAACCCCCGAGAAAAGCAGCTTTTTCTGCAAATCGCACATCGGGTTTGTCGACCCCATAATTACGGTGGTATCCGAATTAATGGAGCTCCAAAATCGTCAAAATCCAAATTAAACATATCAAATAAATTTTTAGAATAGACCTTTTTGAAACATGTTTCTGAGTAACCATTAGCCATTTGGAGGCCTCTTTTTCTGCAAGCCATCGAATCTGGTTTTTCACCCCCATAATTACGGTGGTATGCAAATTAATGGACGCTGAAAAGTTACGAGATTTACCACAGGAAGGAAACTGGAACCAATGCAAACCGAAGTACTTGAAATTTGTATTTTTACGAAATATTTTAAATTTTTATGCGAATATTTCTGTTGTTTTTTACACATCATCAGTGTAAAAAATTTCCAAAAGTGCTGAAAATAGACCATTTTTCCGAGATTTTTTTTGAATCGACTATCATAATCATTTGAATTTAGTTATACGTTGCAAGTATGAAAGGAATTTAGATGATCAAGGAAATTAAAGTTAGAAAATTTTGGTCGCTAAACCGTTATTTTTGTTTTTTTTTAACAAAAATTCTGTATTTTTACGTTTAGGAATAGTAAAAACATTTTAAGGCCCTATCGCCACTTACATTAAAAGAATCGAATTCTAAGAAAAAACTGTGGCTTGCGATACACCCTTCCCCAGATAATGGGAAAGCTCCAAATTCACCAAAATGAACGAATATCATCAAAACTTTCAGCTATCTTCAAAGTCCCGAAAAAAATAGTTTCTGGCTTGCTGGGGCCTTTAAAATGTATTTTTCAGATTTTCTCTTCTTGACTACGATACTTTCCGTGCGGGACAGACAAGCGGATCCACCGGGGATTTTGGGGCAAAATCATCAAATCCATAAGGATAAGCCTGAAATCCGGGGCCCAGCCATTAATATCGCTGGATCGGAAAATCCGGGCGACTCACCACTGCTCGGTGAAAGATATCATTTTCACACGATTTCGTATAGTCCAAGCATTTATTTATATTATTTTCATAATCGAATAGAAATAGAAAACCCCGGAAGAATGGATGTTTCATTAAGTGTTATGGTAAAGGCGGCACAAGGATGCACAATGTAAAATCGACCCTGGTTCAAAAATTTACGATCTTGTTGTGACTTCGCATTGTATTATAAAAATAATAAATAAAAATTAAAAAATAAAAAAAGCAAAAGGAAATAATGATGAGCAAAATAAGTGTTTCATCTTCGTTAAAAAAAATATATGGCAAATATCGCCCTAATTTAGTGATGACCCAGCCATTTATTCTCGTGCCCTGATTTTTGCATAAAAAATCCTGTTATAACCAAAAAAAGCTTGCATTAAAGCAATAAATATTTCACCCTTAGTTTTAGATTGTTTTATGTTATTTATGGTCAAAAATGGTGAAAAAAGTAAATTGTATATGCTTTTAAATCAGGATGTTTCACGCCGTTGCGGAGCAAATGTATTTTCTACGAGGACAATCCCCGGCAGAGTAGACGCCTAAAATAATTTAAAGACAATTAAATTTAAATTAAAAAACTGATCTTTTACAAAATATTGCTGTTCTCATTTCGTGAGCAAAAACTTGCGTTTTGTTCAGTATGTTATTATTTAAAAATCGTTCAAACATTGTTTTTCAATTAAACAAAATCGTTAATTCGATTTGATGATTTTTGTTTTTTTTTTCACTGTCGTTTTTACTGTGTCTTAGATAATGCTCTCCATCTTCCAAATCTACACCACTGCCGTCTCGGGTAAGCTATAGGATTTTCAAAATTCAGTTATCTTTACAAAAACCTGTAAGATTATGCACTTTTAGTAATATCGATAATCGCTAACGGGTTTCTCCTCGTACTCTCCTCGAATAAATCCGTTGACGCGATGCAGGTGAGGGTTTTTGTTGTCTTTAAAGCACTATGAAAATAACGGATAAAAAAACAACTACTGACTTCTTAGATTTGGATAACACACATTTTTACGAAATCACTGGAGTGTCGCGGATTTATAGACCCAAGGAAGCCAGCGAAGTGAATTGTCGAATTTTAAAAAATTTTGCTTATTTAATTTAATGAAACACATTTTTTGGCAGCAAATCTGTCAACTTTTTGGCGCGCTTCTCGAAACTTCTCGAAAAATCTTGATAAAAATCTGAGCAAAACCGTTTTTCCAAGAGACCGGTGTTTCGGACTCACAAACAGCTTCTTATTGGTGTCGTTTAAAATTTAGTGTGTGCTAAAATTCGTAAAACATATTTTTTGGCGTTGATGCGCTGCGATGCAGGTGAGGTTTTTGGTGCACTAATAGACGCGGGAAAAGCCTCATAACTTTAAGATTGACGGCTTATTGATATTTAGCAAAAGACATCTTTGTTTTAACCTAAATCCCAGACTCGATTAAGCTCATCTTTTGTCAATGGAACGAGGCAAGATCTCAATCATAATTAAATCTAGCAAAATATTTTTTTTTTAGAAACGTCGACGCTTTAGTGTGTTGCACTATTTGAGACAACCAGGAAACTAGATAGGACAATGAACGTGCCTTTTTCCTATATTGCTTTTTTCAAAAAGTAAAGGTTATTCAATTTTGACAAAACACATTTTTTTTTCTCCCTGTTGCCTTTAAAGTAATTCAGTTCAGACTTCTGGACATTGATAGCTGCAAGCATTTGGGGTTTTATTACTGCTTTTGAAAACACGTTCCTGATTCAATTTGGGCGAAAAATATATTTTAAACAAAATTCGTGAAGTGGCTATTGCTTAGAGATTACTTTTATTGACGTAAATAGTAATATTAGCAAATTTATTAGTATTTAGCGTAGAAAAGTCAATGAAATAGCTTGTAAGTTAAAGGGACAAGAAAAACAATTAAAAATTACAACAAAAAACAATAAAAAACGAAATGATTAGCACCAGTAGGTCTGTCATACTCATTGGTCTTTTTTAATGGGGCGTTGGGCTGTAAACGGACAAAACATGTTTTATTTGATTCAGGCCCAGAGAGCTTGAATTCGATGAAATATTTGCTTTTAAAGGGGCTAAAAAGCCAGAGGTATTTTTACTTAAAAACTCCCACCCGATAATGCGAAAGCACCATTAATCAATTTTAACTTTTACGTTTAAATTTGAAATATATTCTTTAATATTCGCAGGAGCTGCGCTATTTCCTGTCGAACGTCTCGGTGGCCGGGATCGTGTTCAGCGTCTGCAACTTTTTGATACAGCCCCAAATGGTGAGTTTTTACATGTTGTTTATATAATTTTTTTTTATTGTTCAAAAAGATACAGAAAACGCCATGCACTCCCATTGACCTCGATATTCGTTTTTTCCAAGCGTGTTTGCGAAACACAATTTTTACAAAAATGCACCACCTATTCATGCGTCGCAAATACCTCATAATTTATAAAAAATTAAATCTAGAGATGCGCAGCTTCTTAGATGTATTATTTCTATGGATTTTTACTTTCAAGGTAGGTACAGTAAAGACCCTGCAAGGACCGTCCATCGGCTTCGATAGTTATTCCCCCCGAATTCTTTTGGCGAAACATAATTTTTACGAGCCAAATTTTCGTGCAACCCAAATTCCCAATGTATAAAATAGTTTGCTTAGTTTCTCATGATTTTTTTCGAAACATAATATTTTCTACTATTTCGGAGAAACCTTGATATATGGTAATCAATCCACATACTTTGGGGCCTACTTAACGACGATTTTTTTTTTAATTTTTCTCAAGCTTTTTCCACGAAACTTTTTTGCTATCGACGCTGCAAATTATTAGCCACTGATAATAATTTTAGATAGTTTCTGGGCTTTCTAATTTCAGGTCATGTATGCCGCCCAACTGAGGTTCATGATTATTAGTTGAAAAGTGTTTTTGGTGAAACACAACCTTTTCCAGGTGGTTCGCGGCTCGATGACAATTCGCGTGCCGCACGGGATTGTGCAGCACTGGCCCGATTTTGCTGTCGTAAGTGGATTTAAGTTTTACCAAAAAGGATAAAATGTTTAGCAGCATATTTTATTTAGTAAATTTTTATATTAGAGTTCATTCTAAGCATTTTAAAAGCCGACTTTAGTTTTTAAAATATAATTAAAGAATTGGACGTCTATAAAAAACAATAAAAAAATCACAATTAAAAATGTAGAAAAATTATATACATACTTTTCAGAAAGGCCTAGCCGGTGTGGCCGTCACGGCTCATATGTACAACGTTCTGTCATTTCCCATCTTCTTCGTCTACCGTTTGGTAAGTTTCCTTCAAAAATCTCAAAGAAAAAACATGTTTTATGGAAGCCAACAAACAAAGATTTCTGAAAGGTGGTAATTCGCGTCGATGACATCGAAAATTTACAGTAAAAAATGTGGAAACTGTAGCATAACAATTTATATCAGAAAAATGGTTCTTTAGAAAATGTCCCCCCTCGATAATGCAAAAGAACTCGAAGAATCACGGATTTTTCAGGTGATCCTAACGAATTCGGTGAGCTACGGGCACTACTTCAACAAGCGAAACATGCTCCTCACCTTCGTCATGGTTTTTCTGATGTCGGCCACCGAGGGCTTCTTCTTCTACTACTCCAATATTGACTACAATGTGGGTCGCATACGGTTTTTGAAAAATTATATTTACCCTTGTTTTTATTGCTTACTTTGCGAATTTCGCATTGAGCGCGCTTATAAAATCTTGCGCTCAGGAGTTTTGAAACTTGTTTGGTGGACAAAACATATTTTTACAAAACATTTAACAATCTTAAAATCTTAGTGGCTATCTTACTCATTTTAATTTTTTTAAAGCTCAGTAACCGCGTTTCTTAGGCAAAACGCAATATTTAAAGGCAGTGTTTTAACTTTCTTCAAAACATATCTCAAACACAACCACAAATTTCTAAATCCGGGAAACCTTGGTATATGCGAATTTACTTCGAATAATTGCACGATCTAGAATTTATTCAGGTTGACCTCGCGAAACATATACTTTGATCGGAAATTTTTAATTATTCCACCTTTTTGAATTGCGAACGGATATCGATTTAATTGATTTAATCTTTGTTTTCTATGCAGTTTGAGTGCTAGAGAATGCAGTATTTACCAAAAAAAAATATAAACAATCGCCAGAAACTTGCAAAAAGCGAAGGCCTAGTGCATGCCCATGAAATGACATGGGAATATTTTGATTTTTATAAAATCGTATAAAAATTGTCTAGTCACTGGAAACCCAAGATTTCCGGTGACAATCGTTAAATCGGCAATCGGGTTTTGACAATCGGGTTTATTGGTCGAACCAAGGCTTTCCTAGCTACCTAACCTTCCCGAAACATTTTTTTTATCCTAAAAATCCGCTGTGAGCAGTTTTAGCCTATTCAATTTGCAATGTATTTCCTTGTTCCAGTCCCTCTTCGACCGCCTGAACCGCACCTCCGACGCCCTCGAGCAGTTCAAGGAGCCGCCGTCGAACCATCTGCAGATCCTGTTCACCACCACACAGAACCCGAATATGGTAGGAACTAGAAGACGAAAATCACTAGATCTGGAGAATTTTTGCTATAATGCGATACTTATGAAACATAAAAAATTAAATTTGTGTGTCAATAGAAAAGTGCGTAACTTTTTGAAGGCCTAGTGACAGTAAAACAAGGAAATTATTCGATCATATTTGTCAAAAAATGTTTTAAATTGCTAGCCCAATTCCGGAATCGAAATAGCGTAATTATCCAGTTTGTCCGATTTCTTTTATTCTTATCAAATCTTTGACAGAAGCGAACTTTAGTCCCATTCCATCATTTAATTTTATCGCAACTTTGCGTGGATTGGAAATTAAAAAATGCTACAGTGCGAATTAACAAAGTAAGAGAATAGATGTTTTTAAATATAGATAAAACATTTTTTTGAAAAATCGTCTGCAAATAGGCCGGAATTTATACAATCAATTGCAGTGACATGCATTTTGGAAACCTTAATATAAAGAAAAATTCTGCACCAAAAAAAGCGTGTTTTTAGACAAAATTGAGTTCGAAAATCAGTAAGTATAGCAATCTTGTAAGGAGGTTTTGTTTGTTCCATATATTTGCATTTTATTAAATGATTAATAAAAACAAGCAAAAATTAAAATACCAGTGAGCGTCGTCCGACAAAAGATTACCACCGAATTATTTACTTAGCTGTTATTTTTTTTTGATGAAACACACAATTTAGGCCCAGAGCGCCGTAACTGGGACAAGCGGTCAGCCTCAAACCGTCAACGATCTCGCCATGCAAGAAGCGGTGAAAAATCAGCTGGTACGGTAGTTGGGCAATTTTTGGACGTTTAACATCGTCTTGATTATTTTTAATGTTCACTTACTCTTTACAAAGTATTTTGAAACATATTATTTGGAACAGAAGAAATTCCACTTTAAAGGGATAAGGAAGGCCCAGTAGATCAGGGCTCATCTATAGTTGGCAACGAGCCAACCGGAAATCCTAATCCAGAAAAAATGGAGCAGAGAGTGGCGAGGCAGGAGGGAGCAGAGAAGATTTGTGCTGATTTTAGCTTCCTAAAGCTCGTTTTATGCTAATTGTTCCTGGGCCTTCCTGAACTCTTTAATTAATTTTTTTTCCTTTTCTTTGTTTTTCAGCACAAGCAATGAAAAAATTACGTTGAGATTGCAGGCCCGCTTTTCAAAATGTTCTGAAACATATGGTAGCTCCGAAATTTTTGTAAGTTTGCTACCATGATGCTATTTTTGGAAACGACGAACATTATTGAGTTTTAATTATTAACGATTGTCGAAAAATTGTTTTTAGCCAAACAACTAGAGCTTAATTAAATCACCTAGCTTCAATTTTAAAAAATTTTTGGGCCACGTTGTGGTAGAAAGGTTGGATGTGAGGGGCTGGCATGGATAGCTGCCCCGAGAGAGGCATTCCGCGTGCTTCGGTAGCTCAATAGGGAGAGCATCGGACTCGAAAGCCGTAGGATGCGGGTTCGACCCCCGCCCGGAGCACTTGTTTTGCGGATTGGACCCGGAGCTAGGCCATGGCCATGGGACCCCAGAATTCCCAACTGAAAAATTTGCAATATGAATATCGAAGAGGAATTAACCTGTAATAGTTATGCGAAATGAAGCATTTGAAATGAAACACTATTTTAGCGGCGTCCAATCGAATCCAATCTTCTAGTTAAGGTTTCAAATGCTTTTCCAACCTACGATATTTGGGAAGCTTCTTCAGAATCGTGTGCCAGATTTAAATAGTCTACGACGGGTTTTAAAGGCCTTAAAGGCTTTAAAGGCTTTAAAGGCTTTTTAAAGGTCCTGAAATAGAGGGTTAAGTGATTTCTGCACAACTTGTTGGCAGGAATTAATGAATAAATCCATGCATAAGCATCGTGAAAAGATAAAACATCATTTTCGGCCGGATTTTGACATTTTTTTCAGAGCCGCATCACCATCTTCGGCGACGATTTTGGGCGGAACCCGATTTTGATTCTGTTTTTGGGTAAGGATACTAGAATACGTAGAAAATTCTAGTAAAACTGTAGGAAAAATTATAAAAATGCGTCGCGACGCGTCAAACTCTGCGGCCAGCTTTTGACCTAATTTGCTTTGAAAAAATTGATGTTACGTAAAATTTTTAAGGATCATTCGATTGGAAAACGATAATACGATGCCAAATATCACCATTGTAATTTATTGTTTCACTCACATTTTGAATAAAATTTTGTTACGAAGGTTTCGTTAAGGTCTACCGGCGTTTTGAAAAAATTGATGTTCCACTCAATTTTGAGAAGTCATTCGATTGGAAAATGACGATTGAAGTCGAACGCACAAATTTTCAAAACTTTCGGTTTCGGTCGTTAATTATCTATGTTATTTTTTAAATATTTTTTTTTCTGGCTTAAAATACCGTCGTGACAAGCTAGTATTTACACAAATTTTTTTGCAAAATTGGCGATTTAGCCGTGGCTGCGTTTGGGCACTTGATCGCCTACATCATCGTCCTCGTCTGCGCCCACTTGATGTTGCAGACGCTGCAGAAGAAATCGGTAAAGTTTCTATTTTGGTAAAATAGTTCGGAATAGCCTAATAAAATGGATTTTATTTAAAAAATCGGAACAAATTAATAAAAAGGATGTTTTAAAAATAGCTACGGATCAACTAATAAAAAGGTTTTTAATAAAAGAAGCGAAAGTGAATTGATCAAAAGCATTTTATTAAAATACCTAGGAATTTACGAAACATCAAATTTCCGATTTTTTGTGGTAAGCCTTTTACATTTTAAAATCTGGCAAGCTAGCAGAGATCACTTGAGGGCGCTTTTTTATTATCGGGGGGTGGAGGATGATTATCGCGGGGACATTTTTTAATAGTGTTTTTAGTCAAATTGAACTATACTGCAAATGCAAATCAATTTAAAAAATTGATCAAATTTCGTTTTACCATTTGCAATTCTACAGATTTACAAACGCGAAAAACTTTACCGAAATCTTATTTTTTTGTTAGGAGTTTTTCTCATTCAAACAATTTTTTATGGTTTTATTATTATTTTTTAGAGTTTGATTTTATTAAATTTTGGTTTTAGGGCCAAATGTCGTTCCAAGCGCGCATGTCCCACGAGGTGTTGGTGCATGCCGTCTTCGCCGAAGCATTCATCCCGCTCACCTTTACGGTGCCGATCTTGGCCAACTCGTTGCTCTGCTACTTCTACACGGACAGCCTGTGAGTTTTCAGCCACTAAACAAGGCCCAAGCCATAAATTCCAAATTTCAAAAATATAAAATATGCAAAAATAAGGCTCTTTTGAAAAAAGAGTGTTTAACCGATTCGAGGAGCCGAATGGCTTGAGAAAAGCGCAATTTGCTGCCTGTCCTTTAACGGTTTTTATGACATCTGAAAGATTAAGAAAAATTTTATTTTTTTTTTGAAAAATGTTGTTTCATTTATGCGAGGATCAAAGAGACTTGCCAAAGTGCGAATGTTTCGATTTGATCGTGGTTCGCGTGGATTAATATAGACCCAACAAATTCAGGGAATGGCAAGAGTTTCTGCCCGAATACTTCATCGGCGTCGTCCCACTTCTAACGCCAATCATCTCCATCGTCTTCATCAAGCCGTATCGCAACGTGGCCCTCAACTTTTTCACCCTTGGCCGACGCGAGAAAAAGTGGGTTCCTTGGAAATTATTGTATGGCCGGTTAGGGCAGTTAAGTAATTTATTAATCACGGCGAAAATTTTTGCATCCTATTTCAATGCACTTTAAAAGTCTCAATTTTTTAGGTTATTAGCCACCTTACCTTGAATATTTGCTAAAAAGTTCTATTACGCATAAAAATTTCTATGTAAAAAATATGTTTCGTGAAGACTACGCTTGAATTACAATTAGCGGACGAGATTGGTCTTGAGTGGTCCTGAACCTTAATGATTTTTATGGGATTCGAGAGTTTTTTAGATGTAGAGATTTAGAATATAAATATAAATTTTCTCAAATTTAACCATTTAAATGCACTTTAACAGGCCATCGGGGTTAGCGGGCGTAGCCCGCTAACCCCTTTTGGTTTGAGGCACCCCCCCATACGACTCTTTTGGGGTCCTTTTCCGGATTTAAAAAAGAACCATGCATCGGATCGCGAAACTGAATACATCATCGGAACCGGCGACACTTTTTGCATTTTATAAGCTTTTAAAATTTGAAAAAAAAGTGAACTTTCGAATTTTAACGGCCGATTTAAATTGCGTTTCGAGGGGGGGGGTCTGCGTTTGTATGTATGTATGCCACAAAACCTTTGTAGTCGTCAAAAAGTGCCTTCCCATCATCCGTTTGGGCTGAAATTTTTGACAGTTATTGGGTTAATGATAATCTCGGACCGCACGAAGAGTTTTTTTCAAATTAGGCTTTTAAAAAATTTATATTTAATTTTTAAGTTTAAAAGCTAAATTGCGGCCAAAACAAGGGATAGTGTTGTCCGTTTGGGCTGAAATTTTGCTCAAATAGGCATTAGACCTTGCCGGAAAAAGTAAACAAGAAATTGCATCGAAAGAATGCTTCTTCTCTGAGATATTATAACTTTAAACCTTCGCCATACGGGGCGCCACCCTCCCCTTCCCCGGCCCAGTCCCGAGCCAGGCCGGGCGGGTCTAGCTTCCCCAAGACAGGCCCCCAGTCTCCCCGTTGGCCTAGTGGTTAGCACGCTGTACTGGGAAGACTTGGCTCCGAGTTCGAACCCCACCCAAAACATGGTTTTTGCCGATTGGCCCCCGTGCAACCTTATGGTTTCTAGTGCCGTTACAAAGCGCCGCAGGCAAATTTTTTTCAAGTTTTGCGGACAAGGGTTCATCTGAATAAGTATTCCATGGCTTATTTTACGATCTTGAGGCAAAAAGGGCTAAATTCTCTCTAAGGCTAAAAAGAGTCTTTTAAAAAAGGGCTTTTGGTTTTCGCAAAAAGAGAAGAATTCTCGTGGCAACAAAAAGAGCTAAATTCCTTTCAAACTCTTAAAAATGCCACAAAATGTGGGATCAACCAAAAGTTGCTGGCACCTTATTAAAATGGACAGACCTAGTTTCTAACGGTTTCGGCTTGCAAATAATTTCTGTATTATGATCTATTTGCACTTTCTTGAAATTAATCGGTGGACCTGACCGGTGATCTGGGATGGTACCGAGTTTATTAAGATTTTAAATAGCCAGCAATTTTTTGTTGTTCCCGCATTTTGTGGCATTTTTAAGAGTTTGAAAGGAATTTAGCTCTTTTTGTTGCCACGAGAATTCTTCTCTTTTTGCGAAAACCAAAAGCCCTTTTTTAAAAGACTCTTTTTAGCCTTAGAGAGATAAACTTAAGTTTTTAGTTGTTAGCAACTCCTCTGAATATTTGCTAAAAAAGTTCTTATTACGCATAACGCTTTTATGTAAAAAATACGTTTCATGAAGACTACGCTTGACCGACAATTAGCGGACGAGATTGGATTGAAGTTCATTGAATTTGAATGATTTGAGAGGATTCGAGTTTATAGGAAGATGCCTTAGTATCCATAAAATTAGTGATTTTTGTTTGTTAAAAAGTCAATTTAAGATTTAGCGAAACAATCTAATTTTTTCTAGAAAAATGTGAGGTTTCAGAGAGAATACGTAGTAAATAAACCTCTACTACCAATTGGTGTTTAGAGTCTTTTCAATTGCGGGAATAATTAAATTTATTTAATCTTTTAAATTGCGGGAATTAATTAAATTTTATTCAATTGGTGATTTTAATTTTGATTTATGAAATAAATTGGTGATCAAAGTCTTTTTAAATTGCTGGAATATAAATCTCCACTTTTGCCAAGAAGTTTTGCGGCAAAAGGGTGTTTCGTGATAAATATCGGGTACTTAACAATGTAATACTCTAATTACGATGTCATAAGGTTCATTGCACAATTATTTTTTGGTAAGTAATAGAAACAAAGCTGACCATTTATTAAAGACGATAATATCCGAATCCCCATGACTTTTCTATCAAACATTCTTTTTTCAGCCAAGCCGCCGCTCGCGACAAAACGGCGCAGGACCGCGAGGACGCCCAGGCGGCGCGCGACATCATGGAGATGAATTTGGCTGAGTAAATGAAGCTGCATTTTTATACCTTAACGTTAATTCTATCTTCTATTATTTTTCCAAATCCGGGTTTCATATTTTCTGTGCTTCGAAAAGGGATCGAGATAGCCAATGTTTTCGCTAAAGTCGTTCGCGCTGAAAAATTCCCAATTTTTTCCGATTCCGGATCCGATTAGTTTTACCAGATTTCTACATGGTTTTAAATGTGCTTAATTACTTTACTTAAATGTTGTGATTTAAGTGATTTTTCATATATAACCTTGAATTTTTGCTGCTTGAAAATCGATGCTTTGAATCTTTCGTAAGCTTCGAAGCTAATAATTGTGTGCTCTTTTTATGCAATAAAAACCACTTTTTTACGCGATCTTTTTTGGATCAGCTTATATTTTTGTGGCCGAAAAATTGCCCTAAAACCGTTTTGCTGCTTTTTAGGTAGCTGTTTGAAAAATGTTTCTTTAATACCGGATTTTTTTTTTTGAAAATCATGTTTCAAGAAAGAATTTTCAGGCAATTTTCATGCATTTTTCCTTTTCAAGAAGAAAGAATTTTGGCTAGGAGTCTGTCGCTTAATTATTTAATTTTTAAATCGTGTTTAACTTTAACAAAATAACTAAATATAAATTTTAACCGGTTTTTAAAATTTAGTATCTGGTATTTAAATGCTGCTTTTTCAGCCACTGTTTTACAATGTGGCACGCCACTTTTTAAAAAATCAGGTTTCAAGAAAAGAACATTATATTGGCATGGGGGTTTCGAAGCAATTTTTCTTTATTGTGCGTAAAAAAAACAAACAATTCTGTTTAGGAATCTGCCGCTTAATTATTTTATTTTGATCGCGTTTTTATAATTTAGAATCTAGAATTGATTTGCTGCCTTTTGGCCCGGGGTTTGCAAACAATAATTTTTAAACATCATGCTTCAAAAATTAGCAGTTTTTGCTTGTGAATCTAGGTAGTACATTCGTTTTTAATGCTTTTATTCCGTGGCTATACAAATAAGCGACGCGTGACGCACACGAAAGAGATCATTCCTCCCATTTGGGAATGGGCCATTTGTTTCGAGTAATTTCCGATGGTTTAGTTCTTCTTGGCCTTGTTGGAGCCGATGTAGCCGAAATAGGCGGGGCGGGCGAGCACGGCCGGGGCGGCGGCCACCTGCAATTAATTTTGTAATTTTATTGTGTCCGAATTGAGCCCGAACAAACATTTAAAATCTCGAATTTTGTGACGAGAATAACATGTTTCATCGAAAAGTGAAGTTCGGAAAAATTTCAGAGCTAGATTAGGCCCTTCGAGTGTTTTTCAATAGGCTAGGCGCGCAATCTACCAAAATCAAGCAGTTCGGGCTGGCATAAACATGTTTCATCAAAAATTCTAATTCTGAAAAAATTTGCAACACGATTAAAAACTTTCCTTGCCAACTGGATCCACCTCTCACAGAACAGTCCAAAACTTATTATTTTTGGGTTGGGGCAGAAAAGCCATGTTTCGTCAAAAACTGACATTTGGAAAATTTTGGGATTGTTTAAAGCTGCGGGCCTCTCGTCTGAATGCCAATTCATCTCGTGCCCCGAAATGCCTTTTCAGCTTGCAAAAACATGTTTCGACAAAAATTAGAATTCCGAAAATTTTTACAGCCAGATTAAAAATTGTCATATCCAGGGATGCCATCCAATTTTTGTAACATATAAAATTAACATACCGCTGGGGCGGCGGCGTAGACGGGGGCCGGGGCGACCGGGGCGACCGCGGCTACTGGGCCAGCTGAAATGGATGGTTTAATTCGATTTAGGGGGAGATTTAAGTCATTAACTACGTTGAAAATCGATGTAATGCTTACTGTAAGGGGCCGGCGGAGCCGGGGCCGGGGCGACGATGGGCTCATAGGCGAAGGCTGGGGCGGCGGCGGCAACCTAATACAGATTTTATCACTATTTTTAGCATACTACTATGCTATTGTCAATTGAATTTTCATACTCTGTAACTATAGTAATACTCCTATTAACAAGCTGGCTAGGATTTTTGGGAAGATCAAAAAAAATTGAAAAATTTAATTAAGAGATCGATAAATTGAAATAGCACTTCGCGTGCAGGTTTGTAATTTTCCAAAACATTTTTTCAATTAGCTGCAAAAGCCAAAAATTTTTCAATGGGCATGAGTTTCCTACCTTATATAATTTTGGCGTGTATCTTTGTGTGTGTGTGTGGATGTCAGTTTGGAAGCCCGATTTGAGGGCCTTCCCGTGGATAAAATGCCCTAATTCTCCGTCACCCGGGGGAATCGACCCTCCTGTTTCCGATGGCGTTTTCAGAATTTCGATATAATACAAGTTTACAAAGTTAAACCCGGTTTTATTCATTTTTGGGGGTCCCTGAGGGCTAATTTGCATGATGCGAGAAAATACAAATTTCCTCATTCTTGCCTGTTACACTCGCGCGTTTGGCTGCCTCATTGGAGCTGCCTCTCATTGCCTTTGCTCCCCTTTCCCGGCAGTCACCTCGGGGCATACAAGGGGTGTTGCGCGCGCGCTCCCAAGCGTTTCGTGATATAGTGGTTAGAGCGTCAGCCTGCCAATCTTGCTATAGGGGGTTCGATTCCCGGCTATCGTATTTTTTTTTTGCTTTATGCTCGAAATGCATGTTTCGAAGTGTATTTTCCTGTAGGGAGGCGCTATTCTGAAGTCAGTCGCTCTAAACTGCGTCGCAGGCTAACGAATCCAGCTAGGCACTGAAACTACCGCCGCAGGCTAAAGATTCAGGCTAATTCCTCGAGCTAGCGCCGAAAGGTTTTAGAGCGAAGCTAGCCGCTGAAGCTAGCGCCGCAGGCTAAAGAATGAAGCTACCCGGTCAAACTTGCGCCGCAGGCTTTAGACCAAAACTAGCCGTGCAAGCTAGCGCCGCAGGCTTTCGAACGAAGCTAGCCGCACAAGCTAGCGCCGCAGGCTTTAGAGCGAAGCTAGCCGCTGAAGCTAGCGCCGCAGGCTAAAGAATGATGCTACCCCATCAAACTTACGCCGCAAGCTTAAAGAAACAGGTAACCGCTCAAACTTGCTCCGCAGGCTTTCTCTCGAAGCAAACCGCTCAAGCTGGCCAAAAAAGGAAGCTAATCCCTCAAGCTCGGGCCGCGGGTCGATCAAACATGCGCCGCAGGCCTAATAACGAGATTAACAGTTCAATCTTGCGCCGCATGCCAATACAAAGAGTTTTGCATGGGAGATGGGTTTTTCTTTCTTCCAGGTAACTTTATGTGGAAGGGCGCTCGATTAATAGGGCCTAGACGGAGTCCAGCGGGGGAGAGTCGCGAAGCGGCTCCTCCCCCGCTGGTTTTATATAATCATTTTGGGTTGAGAATCCGATAATTGCAGTAATATCCTTATTAATAATCGTTTTAATATGCAATAATTTTTACACTCCTAAGCCTTGCGGACTGAACTAGAAACTTGGCTCCCTGCTGCCTCATTTTTCGAAACATATTTTTAGCAATCATTGTTTTTGGCCAGGATCTTAAAATCTAGTAATTAAAGTAAAGTAGTTTAATCTAGCAATTTTAATTTTTGGAACCCTGAAAACAATAGTTCCCATTGCACATATATTTTTTTTATCATCAGCAGACCTGAAGGAAATGGAAAGAGCTACTTCGTTTCCAGGTTCGTCGTTTTTGAAACATTTTTCCAAGAAATTTTTGATTCAATGCTTTAAAACAATTATTTTCTAAAACATTAGTATTAGGAAATTTTTTCTGTAATCGAAATTAGCCTATAAAAATTGTCGATAATCTCGAAAATTAATTAGATTGACATAATCTTTAATTTAATTCTTTGTATACCGGTGCATAGGCGGGGGCGAAGGCGGCAGCGGCGGCGACCTGAAACCAAAAGTTTTAATATTTTTCGTTTTGTTTAATTTAAAGCTTCTATATAAATTTGAATATACGGCAAATATTATAACTAAAATACGCTACAAAAATTAGCTCTTAAAAAATTGCTGCAGTGTGGTTAAAATTTATGAGCTTCAAAAATTTGCCGAATACCAGACATGGCAATCCCGGCCGGCCTAGCCGCACGGCCGAGCCGCCGGCCCAATTTCCATAAAAACCCGGCCCCCTACGAGCCGCGTTAATGACTTACTTCCGGAAACCCGGCTTCCCGGCCCAGCCGGCATTTAGTTGCGGCCCGGCCAAGCCGCTCCGGCCGAGCCGGGAAACCGGAAGTTGTTCATCTACGAGAGAATCCGTGAATCCTATGCAAAATTGTGAATGGAAATGACCAAATTTCTATGGTGGAGTGGTTTTTCTCTTGCCATAAAGCTAATTATTGATTGAATCCGCAATCTGCGTACCGGAAACGCGAAAATCTCATTTGGGTCCGGCTTTCCGGCTTTTCAAAAGCCGGCGGCTTGGCCGGGGCTCCGGCCTCAAAACATAAAAAAGCCGGGGCCGGACCGGAAGCTCCGGCCAAGCCGCGCGGCTCGGCCGCATTCTAATTTTTCCGGCCGAATAAAGCCGGCGGCCCGGCCGTTTGCCATGTCTGCCGAATACTAAATAAGTCACTTTTATTAATGGATGGTCTTTAGTATGGAATTCATATTAAAATAATTAAATAATGCTTACTAATATTTTTCCTATGCAAAACTAAAGAATAAAGCTTACCGGTGCGTATGCGGGAACGGCCGGGGCGGCGGCAGCGACCTAGAAAAAAAAATGATGTTTTAGCATCCTGTCATAACAAAAATTTTTTTTCAGCGCCTAATTCGGCTATTTACTACGCACAACCGCCCATGGGTTCGGTCCAGATGGTTCAGGGTAGTGATGGAGTTATTCAAATCAAATCTTGAGTCAAATCTGAGAGCTCAAATCTGAATATTTGAAGGCAAAAATTTCACTTTCAAATCGGCGGATTTGATTTGAAATCCCGTGGACGAGTTCAAATCAAATCTCGAGGATTTGATTAAGCTTCCGGTCCTTAATAAAATCTTATGGAGATGCCGGCATGCAAAACATAACAAAA